ATCGAAATGTCATTAAAAATAATCCGTTATGCCGCGGCAGAGCGGCAGAGCGGCAGAACGGCAGAGCGGCAGAGAGAACGGCAAGAATTTTGAAATGCTCCCTAACTGCAGGTACAGTATTCCTGAGCTAGTTTAATAGCGATAGAGCTTTCAAGGAAGAATAATATATTTTATATCAAATACTGTTTACAGTTTGTTTTGTACTAGATGTTACTCGTACATAAAAAAAGACTCTTCTGATGAGAACAAACTTGTTCAAAAAGTGTTAAAAGGAGTACTGGCAGCAGAACTTTGTAGATGTTGGATTTTCAAATAGATAATTAAGTTGTCTCTCTGCTACGAGAAAAAAAGACAATAAAACAGATAGATACACCTTAAAGCATTCCTGTTGATAGTTCACTTAACGTAGATGATGAAAGCACAAGCGAGTGTAAAATATGTCATAGTCGATACATAATATAAAAATGATGGTAAACTATCAATATAATGGTACTGAACTGGAACTAATAACGGTACGAGAAATGTTACAGAGGGTACCTGAGCGAAAATTTCAACCAAAAACTTTTTTGCGATCTTCAAAAACGACATGTTTGTTCGGAATGCTGTTGTAAAACCACGTACAGAAACTTTTGAAATAGTTGTGACATGCAATATGGCCTGATCACCTTTCTCCCTTTTTCATTTCAAAAGTGACTACCTTTAGTGCAAACACTTACCAGCATCTAACTTTGCTGAACAAAAGCCAAAGCAATAATAATACTCAATTACTCAGTAATAATACAAATATGATTAATAGTAAATATTCATCATCAGCACCAAATGTTCGGTTCAACGTACAGCGTGGTTATTCAAGTGGTTTTGTATGCGAACATATTGTTTATACATTCTCTGGCAGTGATTTTATAAATCTTACACCCTCTGAACCTTTTAATACATTTCAGTCCAATACATATTTGACAATATGTTCTGCAACAACACCAATAGTACCATTAGTTCCTTCAGAGATTATACAATCAGCTAAATTCAACGACTCTTATCAATTACAATTAAATTCATCAACACTTCCATTATCAACTTTACAAAAATATAACATAAATGACAACTTTGTAATACAATTATCAAGTATGGGTTCATGGTCTACTTCAGATAGTATTGAAACATTCTGTTTACCTAATCAATATACTAGTCAAATTTTTACACGACAACCAGCACCTCAACATTCAATTACTATACAAAATAATTTGTTTTCTAATTCAAATAATTGAACGACGTTATTAAATGTATTTAAAAATATTCACAGCTATATACTACCCGTTAATCTTTCAAATGCTTATAAATGAAAAATTAATTTATTCTCAGCCATCGTATACATCGTAATAGCAAAAACACTACGTAAAAACGTCGATCTGACCAGATATCAAGCGTTAAATGAACAGATTGAGTATTGTTGCGTACTTATTTTAATTTAAATACAACTTTATCAAGTATTTTTAGCAATAGATTACCACAAATTTTTCGACGCCCAAGAATTTTATATTTTTATCAACAATTTTTCTTAAATTTTAAAAAAGGACCACGTTCATTTTTACAAGTTTAATTTTCGGTCTTGGTTTTTCATTCACATTAGTAATAATGAACATTGAAATTCGAACAAGCAAAGGGCAGGCTTCAATTTGAGTATGATATTTGCTATGTTGTTGTGTTCTTTGCCGAATAGTTTACGATTACCTTGAGATATGCGATTTTTGCTCAAGAGAGGATTTGTATCCAAGCGTCACCAAGAAGGGTGCAATTATAAAAAATAAATAATATATTGAAATGTGGAACTCGACTTGTCTATTTTAAGTGGGTATACGGATGCAGATGAAAGTGTTTCGTCTATGAGAAAACAGAGAACGAAGATGTCGGTTTGATCGAACATCAACACTTGTGCTGATTCAAAAAAACCACTTTTTATATCAATTTTGAGTGGACAGTTGGGGCTTTTACATAACTCAAATAGGTCTACAAAACGTATATGGTTAGAGGTTGGGAGCTCTCAGACGATGTATAAAGTGGGCGGAACTGCGTAGAAATGCCTATGTTATCTTCTCATTGTATTTTAGGCCATTGAAATGAATAATGCAGAGCATAACAAAACTGCATATAATTTCATAAAACGATATAAGACTTTCGATGCTTCACTTTTTATGCTATTTGCTCTTTTCTTGGTTCTTTTGTCTACCTCGTTTACTTTCTAGAAAATTCAGTAATTTGTTTTTACGAAAACATTTCGAAAATATTCTGTGGAAAAGAAAATGCTTTTGGGCTGGATGCCAAAATGGACAGGGAAGGATGGGTCAAAAAAGCATGAGTTACTGCCCGGCGTTCTTCATGTATAGCCACTAATTCAAGCTTGTCAGTAAATATAGATGAAAATGCACAAAGATTTAGTACATTCTATCCTGATGAGAATAATTTCTCAACAATATCATTACAAAATGATGTAAAATCAGTAATTGTATATTTTGATTCCGGTGGATATCCAGTTACAAAAGCATCAATATTTCGAATTGAATTAGAAATACATGATTTAGGTACGTTAACAGCTACCAATGATCAACAGCGATTAAATTATGGACAATTATCAGCCTATGTTGGTTCTAGAAAATTATTCCCATTAAACTCAGAAACATTACCTGCTTGTATAACAAAACAAAATCAACTGATACAAATTAGTGAATCTATTATTAGTTCATTTATTTTGTCATTTCAAAAACCAGGTCGTTCAACACTGTTAACAAGATTTCGATGTAAACGCCTGTTTCACTGTCGTATGATTTATTCTTGTAAATTTCGAATACAAATTGTCGTTGTTTTAAAACTTGCTGGTGATGTATCAATTAGGTTTATTTTTATTTCCAATTCAACTACAAATGAAACTATTATTGAAACGCTATCAACAATGCCATATCAATTTGGTAATGGTCATATTGACGATGTTAATACTAGTGATGCTGCTGAACTTAAAATCGAGTTATTATTTAACGATGATTTTACAGGTGATCAAGAACAAGTTTATGCTCTGATATATTCAATTACATTAGAGGCACATGATGGTGGAACATTACAATCATTACTGCCGATAGCACTTCGAAAAACACGACCTACTAAACAGAATAGACCACAAACATTTCATTCCAAAGATCAATTTAACATTAACGAATAAAACTGATGACGAGTAAGAAATGAATCTAACTATGTTAGAATTTGTATAGAAATCTTGCTCTCGAATTGTAAAAGGTGCAAACGTTTGTCTCGTGACTTGATATCTGTATCGACAAAGTTACAAAAATTTAAACCCTATAAGTATCTTATTATTTCTGCAGCACTTTGGCATAAACATGTTAACAGAGACACTTCTCTCAACGCATCGTCGCTGCACAACGTGTGGAACTAGTGTGGGAGCTAACATTTGTAGGCATGCGTCATCGTTAACCAAATAGTGATTCTCATCTGGCACTGACTCACATCGATCTACCCTGGTATCTTTTTGTTTTAACCTTATTGGGCCAAAACGGAAGCAGTTTGATATGAAATCCGATGTTTTAGACCCAGACCAACCGGAAAATGTCGAGAATCCACAAGTTTTCTGTAGACCTAAAGCGACTCAACGATGCATAGTAGCCCAAACGTTGTCTGCAGACACTATAGTGACCCACTGTACTGTTGGTGATCTCAGGTACAGGATTTCACATCAAGCTGCTTGTTCACAGGCCTGGCCTAATATAGTTAAAACAAAAATGTCAGTGTAGGTCGGCGCTGGGCTGCTGGTAGTGATGCATACCTAGTAGAACTTGTTGCTATTTTATTCTAGGTTTAATTATTTTTAATCACTTATTGCTTGTCTACATTATATTATACAATATTTTCACAAAAATAATTTTAACGTCACAAAATATTTTACTTGCATACGATTACAGAGACCTAATCAACATCTATTTGTCGTAATGTTTGTTTTTAATGAAAGTGGATAAAACAATGTATGACATGTTCCCGTTGACCAAAGTGGGGGCACCATAATTGCAACGACTCTCAACATGAAAGGTGCAAATTGTCGATCAGTTGTTCAATGCAAAACCAAGAAATAGTGATCATATGACGAAGGCACTGTTCTTCAGGTTTTCTCATGTCTACTAAACCTTTATTCATCCCGCCTCATTCCATTTTCCTGAAAGAGTTAACCTTTTTTAAGGGTACCCCCCCTCTTTTTGCATCTTGTTGCCAAATGCGGAGTACTTTTGCATAGAATTTTGTGACGTGTTCTTCTATGGATTTTCTAGAAAACTCCGGTTTTCATCCAGTAACATTACGACCCCTCGAAAAAATGGTCCGATCGAGCTCAAATTTCTACCACAGATACTTTAGGCCCTATCTCAGGTTCGCTTTTTTCTTTTCAAAAATATGCTTTCCTTCTCGAGATATCCCGAAAATGCTGGAAGTCACCCAAAAAAACGCAGTTTTTTACAGGTTTTCTTGCGTGACTTTCAGCATTTTTGGGATATCTCGAGAAGGAAAGCATATTTTTGAAAAGAAAAAAACGAACCTGAGATAGGGCCTAAAGTATCTGTGGTAGAAATTTGAGCT